GAGACAAGCTCATGTGACACGGTTTTTGCCCTTTGCTCTGTCTCCTTTTTCCATCTGGAAGGTAGAACTGCCTTCTTGGAAGTGTGAAGATGGAATCTGTACTCACAGGATTACAGAAAGAAGGATGGAAACTTAGGTCCTTGCACTTTCCTCTGTCCTGGAATGCTGATGTCAAGACTCCATTGTGTCAGAAAACAAAGCCCTTATTTTGTTTAACCAACACAACCTGTTTCTGCCACATGCAGCCAAAATCATCTCTACAGATGCAATCACTCATGACATGCATGGTCCCTGCCTACCTCTTCAGCTTTATCTCAAGTAACTCTCCTCCTCATTCACTACATTGCAACCACAATGACATTTTTTTTTTTTACTTGTTAAACCCTGTTCTGCACAGGGTGCTTGCCTGTGCTTCTTTCTCAACCCAGAATAATCATTGTTCACATTTCTACTCTTTATTCTGGTCTGAGCTTAAAAAACATCTTAATATGGACTTTCCTGACATCACTGCCTAGTCCAAATTAGGTGTTTATATAGTACCCTGAACTTCTCCTTCTTAACATGCTTCATAATTTACATATATTTTTCCTTGGGGTAGTGTCTGTTTACAATACTAGCTATGATTTAGAGGTATAGGCTCACATTTCTTCAAATTTATGTCATCACACCACCTCCACCACCAAAGCACCAGTAGTCAATCCTCTACCACAGTCCATTGGGCACCCAAACCCCTCTTTGCTCTCTACCTCCCTGTCTAACTTCTATTCTGCAGTCATACTTCTGGTTGTTTTGATTTCGTTTAGTCTGTTCCTTTGTTTTCTTTCTTTATATTCCATATATAAATGAAATTACTCAGTATTTGTCTTTCTCCTTCTGACTTGTTTCACTTAGCATAATTCTTTCCAGTTCCATCCATGTGGTTGCTAATGGTAAGATTTCATCTTTTTTTCAGCTTAGTAATATTTCATTTTGTGTGTTTATACTACATCTCTTTATCCACTTATTTATCATTGAACACTTAGCTTGTTCCATAGGTTAGTTATTGCAGAGAGTGCTGCAATGAACTTTGGAATGTGTATATCCCTTCTAAATAGTGTTTTGTTGTTCTTCAGGAAGATACCTAGCAATAGAATTGCTATATTATGTGGTAGATCCAGCATATCTTAGGTTTCAATATTTTAAGAAACCTCCATCCTATTTTCCAGTTTCCAGAATAGACCAGACTTCATTCCCACTAACAATATTTTAGGGTTCTTTTTTTTTTTTTCCATAATCTCCCTTGTCCTCATTTGTTTTTTGTCTTTTTGGTATGGGGCTATTCTTATGGGTTTGAGGTGGTACCCCATTGTGGTTTAGATTTGAATTTCCTTGCAATAGGTGACTCTGACCATTTTTTCATGGGTCCCTTGACCATCTGTATGTCTTCTTTTGAGAAGTGATTATTTAATTCTTTTCTGCATTTTTTAAATGAGGTTGTATGTTTTATTATTCCTGTGTAATTATGAGCTCCCTACAGAACTTAAATAATAGTCCCTTTTCTGATGTATGTTGTACAAATATTTTCTCCCACTTGATAGGGTATTTTTTTCTTTCCAATGACAGTTTCTTTTGCTATGCAAAAGCTTTTGTTTTATATTACCTCATTTGTTTATTTTTGCCTTAGTTTCCCTTTTTACTGGAGTCCCCAAAGTCATCACTGAAATTAATGTAGTGTTTACCTATGTTTTTTTCTATGTATTTTATGACTTCAAGTCTTACAGCTAAGTCTTGAATTCATTTTGAGCTAGTTTTTGTGTATTGTGTGAAATAGTGGCATAGTGGTCTAGTTTTCCTAACACCACTTGTTGAATAGACTTTCCTTTCTCCCTTGTATATTCTGGCTCCTTTGTCATAGATTAACTGTCCATACAATGTGGGTTTATCTCTTGGCTCTCAATATTATACCAGTGAACTGTGTATTTATTCTTATTCCAATAGCATACTGTTTTGATCTCTATAGCTATGTAAAATAGTTTCAATTTTTCTTTATACAGTTTTTTTTCTTTTAGTTTATGCTCATCTTCCCAACTAGACTCTGAGTTCTATAATGCCAAGTACTTTGTCTTGTCTACTACTAAATATCTAGCCCTGATAACAGTGACTATAACATAGAAGAAACTGAATCAACAGAGCTAATAAATGAACAATCTTGTGACATTCCATGACTTTTGTAATGTTTTCCCTCCTCTCTTGAATCATAATTAATGACTCCATCCTCTATACTTCCACATCATATTGCTTTGACTTGTATTTTAACTCAAACTTTTTTTAAATATTTATTTGTGTTTACAGAACTGGGGTACAGGCCAGACATGCAGGGGCAGTGAGAGGATTCACCAGGGACAGAGTGGGGAGCAGAACAGGCAGATCGTCGAAGTACACAGCTGAAGGGAGCAGCAGGCAGGTCAGGAGAGGTCTGCCTCGCCATGTGGATATCACCTTGGGGCAGGCGGGGATTGAGCTCATGTAGAAGTGGCTTTAGCTTCATAGTGCTGTGCTTTAACCCACTGCACCACCAGGGAGGGTCTTAACTCAAACATTTTAACAAATAAGGAATGCTGAAAAACATCTCAATGCCTGTTCAGGAAAAAGGCACACAAAAGTTTATTATAATACAGTGTATTAAATGCAATATTTGAAGTACAAAAAGAATAGAACAAGAAGCAATGTGAATGATTTAATTGTGTGATGAATGAGACCAGGGAAGGTTTTCTAAGAAGTAGTAACATCTGGGCAGCCTTTTAAAGCTCAAATGAGTATTTTCCAGATAGATATGAAGAGGAAATCCACGCAGAGTAACTAGCACCTCCTGCAGTGTGAAAAAGCAGAGGGTACAAACAGAGCATCAATGAAGAGTAAAGCATGAGGAAGGTAGTAGGAGCATTGTGTTGAGTAACATTATCGAGGCGGAAGCCTTTGTCATGCTGAACCTGGGTTTCTCCATAAGACTGTCGTCATGACTATTTAGAAATCTTGTCCAAAGAACTGTAGAACAAATAGAACCATGATTTATATTTCATAATTTACATAATCAATTTCATGCATGATTTTGTTGCCAACCATTAGAAAATTATTTTCCTCTGAGACATTACTAGGTGGGTGAAGCCACATGTACATGGTCCACGGCCCTGCCCATCTGAAACACCCCAACTGGCTCCATCCTCTGTGGAAGAAATGGTCCTGAATCAAGCTTGCAGACGTAGGGCCCTGAAGTGTCTATGATATTACCATAAGTAGCTTTGATTTTATGGACAACACATAGGCATGAAAGGATTTTAAGCAGAGGAGAGATTATCCTCAGATTCGTGTCTTGGAAGCATCGTTTCGAAGGAAACACTGGCATCAAGGAAACCAGTTAGGATTCTATTGCAATGCTAAAAGTAATTGAGAATCTCTACTAAGGCAGTGTCAGCGAGGGATAGAGGGAATAAGATTGGGGAGATGATTCAGAGGCAAAATCAATCAGGCATAGCAACTGATTGGACATGGGAGTAGACAAGAGAGAAAGTAGTAAGGAATAATATGAAAGTTTCTTTTCTAGAAATTGACCATCAGGTAGTTTAGTGAGAGAGGTAAGACAGGAAGGAAAGCACCACTGGAGGGGGGGATAATTAATTCAGTTTAGGCCTTTTGGTATTTGAGATTTTCATGGGCTTTCCAAGTGGAGATGTCCAGTTGGTTAGATAGACACATGGATCTAGAGCCCTGAGAGAGTAGCCTGGGTTGGAGATATGAGATTGAGACTTGTCAGAAAAGATGATAACCTAAACGAGGTCTTGAGCAGTCAACACAGGGAGGAAAGAATGGTAACAACTTAGACCTGATGATACTCACTGACTGATTGGATAAATGGAATGTGGAAAAGAGCTTAAGGCAATCCTAAAGTTACTGATTTTGGAGACAAGGCAGGTGACAATTCCAATGTTGCGGTTTGAATCCCCCCCCCAACCCATCTGTTGAAGTCCTAAACCCCATTATCTCAGAAGGTGACTATTTATGGAGACAGGACCTTTAAAGAGGTAGTTAAGGAAAATTAAGGTCATATGGATTGGCCCTAATGCAATCTAACTGATCTTCTAAGAAGGGGAAATTGGCCCTCCCTGGTGGCGCAGCGGGTTAAAGCGCTGCGCTGGGAGGCTAAGCCACTCCGCATGAGTTCGGTCCCCGCCTGCCCCAGAGGTGACCACATGGCACGGCAGACCTCTCCTGGCCCGTCCGCTGCTCCCCTCAGCAGTGTACTTCGCAGATCTGCCTGTTCTGCTCCCTGCTCTGTCTCTGGTGGAGCCTCTCACCGCCTCTGGCCTGTACCCCAGTTCTGTATGCACAAATAAAATAAATCTAAAAAAAAGGGGGGGAAATTAAGACAAGGTCAGGCACAGAGGGGAAAATTAGTGAATAAGAGGATGACCATCTGCAGGGTAAAGAGATTATGTAGAAAACTGTGGAAGTACATGACATCACCTGAGAACTGTAGCTAGAGTGAGGTCATCAAGGATAGAATCATAAGGAGTATCAATATTAAGGAGCAGGTTCTGAGGAGCAGAACCAGGGCAAGGAGAACAGTCAGAGACAGGATGAAGAGAGAGAACTCATAATTGCTTTTTTCCATTCTGCTTTTAATTATAAATTAGTTGAGTACATATTGATCTCAGTCCTCAAAGGGCTTTCACATAATAAAGAAAACAATCTCTTACTCATTCCTCAATCTCCAGTACCAAGCACAGTGCCTGACATTTAATATTCCTGCAATAAATATTTGTTAAATCGAATGGAATTGAAATTAGGACTCCATTCCCCTCTCGGTATTGTTTGCTTATTTCTGGAGTGTGCAGCATGTGTTGCAACTGATATTTTAAGTTCATAGTGAAAAATCATTTCAATGTGTCCTAGGCTTGGTCCTCTTCCAACCCAACCCCCAGGACAATAGTTTTCATTATAACCTTCTGTCTTTGCCATTCTGGATGGAATTCTGTGCACAGAAGTTATATACATATATGGGTATATCTATGTAACAAATCGCAGCACAGAAGCCCCCTGGGTTCCCTCAGGCTCTGGTATGACATATTTGAGCCATATAAATTCAGCTTCTCCTCTGGCATCTGTTAGCCGACTCACTTGCAACTCCACCTCAGCAGTGGTCTCTCAGTCCTTTCAAAGCAGGGAAAGAGTACTGTGTGCTGAGAGGCCATGGCAAAGAATCCTCCAGAGAACTGTGAGGACTGTCACATTCTAAATGTAAGTTGATTCATTTTTTCTCCTTTTGAGCAGAAGCATGGTTTCACAGATTTCTGGGATTGCAAAGTGTACATTAGAAAGTAAAATCAAAAGTGACTCTGAACTGACTTGCTATGTTAAGGGTTATTGTGTATTATTTTATTCTCTCTGTTCTTTACTTAGGCAGAGGCTTTTAAATCCAAGAAGATATGTAAATCACTTAAGATTTGTGGATTGGTGTTCGGTATCCTGGCCCTAACTCTAATTGTCCTGTTTTGGGGGAGCAAACACTTCTGGCCGGAGACTCCCAAAAAAGTAAGTAGATGCACTTTCTTACCTGACGCTTCTAGTTTGAATTTGATTGCATTTAATTAGTCACTGCCGTGTGTTACTCTGAAAATGAAAATCATTACATCCTGTGTTTATTTGCTAGTGGTGTGAACAACTAAATTGAGATTGAATTTTCTCCCCCTTTTATTTGTCCAATTATTTTCAAAAGGAAAAAATGTAACTTCTGTATTTTGGTTAAAAAAAATGATAAGATGTGGAAATGTCTATTCTTCTGTAGTACTTGACTTTAGGGAGTTAAGACTTCTCCAAGTAGCAACATTTTTGCTGTTAAGAAAAAAATACTCTCCATGTTTCTCTCAATTATCTGGGTAGAAACTGATGGGAATGTAATTATATCACCACATAAGGAGAAACCACCAGAAATGGGAGCAAAGGATTTTCAGGGATTATGTTTCTGACTTAATGTATCTGCTGTGAGGACAGGCAGCAAGTTCTTTTTTCAAAAGGAGCAATTCTCAGACCTCGGTTCACATTTATTTATGACTAAAAAAAAAAAACAAAAAAAACAGCCTAGAGCTTCTCAGCTCCTTACCAGCCAGCCACAGCCATCACTGTCCCACTGAGACAGTAACACTACCAGGTAGAAACAGACACACCGAATCATTAATCACAGGTATCTCAGAAAACTTGTGATATGAGGGTCATTCAGTGAAGCTTGACAGGCTCTGTTGTAGTTGGTTTTAGTGTGCCTAAGTGTTATTGTCATTCCTGGGCTGACACACACTGGGAACCATTCGATGTGACCCAATAGAAATCATAGACCCTTCAAATTAACCATTTCTATTTGAAAGAAAATTAACAGATGCACAAGCGACAAGATGTGAAGGTGGTTTTCTGGCTTTGCCACAAATTTCTCTCTTCATGGGGGTTGCTGTTGCTGCTGTTATTAATGTGTTGTCATGAGCCACTCTTTTCTATTTGATAAGGGAAAGGCACAAATACAGGAGGGAGGATGAGACAAGAAGAAAATGGGTTGGCATGGACCTTTAGGGGTCAAAGGAGCTATAGGAGCAGAGAGGAAAGGATACAGATTGATGAGGAAGAAAGGGAAATAACAGAAAATCAACTGGACAAGTGCCCAAAAGAGAAGAGGAAAATAAGGCATAATCACCCTTGGAATCTTCACTTCTGCTTCCATACCCACTTTGATTTACTCCCAGACAAGTAAATACATTTAACTTCTAAGTTTCAGTAGGAGGGAGAATGAAGAGCAACCCCAGCTAATTTGTTTGACTTTTTATTTATACCTTAACCCAGAAAGTATGTCAATGCCTATAGTGAACTTCTCTCCCTCCCACCCTCTCTCCTCCCTGCTTCTGAACTACTTACTGTTCAGATGTCTTTCTGGAGAAGCTATGTTCAGTCTAACAAGGTGGGTAAAACAATTGAGATCAGGAAGGAAATAGCAAATGAATCATTGCCAAGATGTATTCCTATCCAATTCTATTACCATTTAACTAATTCCCAAAGTGACAGGCTGCCCACAAATTGAATCTTGGCTCCTCTGAACAAGTGCAGATGAGTTACAGCACAATAAACTCCTTTGTTCTCCAGGCCCATAATGTACTTAACTGAGTGCGGTACATAGCTGGCCCTTCTGACCGCCCGTGCATGCTTGCCTACCATGGGGCCATGTGGCCTTGCTTGTTGATTGTACCATTGGTGCTGTAAATGCTACTCGGATGTTTATGTGTTTCTCTAGATTGCAATGCTATTTTCCCGAGTGTGATTACAGAAGGCCAGGTGGGTGCCTCGCGTTTATCGTGCAAGGTATCAACCACACCAGCAGGACCCATGGGCCACTCTGCATCCTTATTCCATCATCTTTCCCTCTGGTTCCAATTCTCTTTTTAATGGATTATTTGGGGGAATTCTGTGATTCCTCAAACCAAAAGTAAAATCCAATCAGTGCATGAAGAGGAAGTGGGGTATGCTACTGAATGATGTTTATCAGAGAATTAAATACTTTACAAAGTAAACCATATTGGGATATAATTTTCAACAAACAGTGCTCAGAAATGAACTAATCTGTTGCAAAGTCATTTGGTAAAAAGAGAGTGGGTGTCTCCTAGACAGGTTTTCAACTTTGGATAAAGGTTGCATGTTCTCCATTCCAAAGGGGAGACGTGGTTTATGTCTTTGCCAGTTAAGTCCCAGCCTCACCAGGACACCAGGCTGGGTCCACTGCAAATGATAAATCCACCGGAGACAGGTGTTTCACGCAGTCTGCTATTAACTTCAGTTCCCAGACAAAGGGCCCAGGAGACCATCTTTGTTTCCAATGGCCAAGACAGCCAATAAGCCTGCCTGGGAGCTGACATATGAATCCTGGGCAGAGAACAGTCAGATTAGTCTAGAAAAATTTAGAGAGGAAAAGGGTCTGGGCATCTTGAACAAATTAAACGCACTCTCCTCTTAAGTTTACGGCCCCGCAAGAAACAGCATTTAGAAGATTCAAACACAGACACTTCTTGGCTTTTCTAGCCCCTTTTAGGACTTCTGGAGACTAGGGAGCACTTGGTGGAGAGAACTTTTGATGCTGTTGTCTTTCTCCATGACAGCCATTTACTTGCTGTCCTGGAATTTCCTCCAAACTTTTAACGTTTGCTCCTCTAGCCTCCACCACACTGCCTTTTAATTTTTTTTTGACATCTGTTTATAATAAAGTGTTTATTTAACATGGCACATCTGGTGTTGACATTTCCATACCAGTACCGCCTCCCCTTCCTTCCATTACCTCCCAGCGTGGTGTGTACAAAAACCTAGGTTCTTAATTCCAAAAGGGGTCCAGGAATCCCTTTCCCTTGCCAGGCTTGAGTCTTGTCATACACCTGAAGCAGGAGTGGGTGTGCCACACACACACTCACGCGCATACACAGGGAGAAAGTGAAACAAAGAGAACTAACTCCGGCACCCACTCAGCTACAGGCCCCCTAACCCACAGCCACACTCAGGAGCCACTAGAGCTGAATGGAAGCCCATCCTTTAAGCTCTCCACTCAGCTTTCCTCATCAGGCAGAAGGGACCTATTCCGTCCGTCCCAGAGATTTGGAGAGAGCATCACGACGAGGCTGCACTTCCAGGCAGTGACTGCTCAGGGATCTCTGAAGCGGACTCCTTGGAGAAGCATTCTGGCTTACAGCTCCCGTATTACACACTTAACTTGAAACAGCTAGAAGGCAACTCCCCAGCTAATTAATCCATCATGGAGAAAAATCAGAAGAAAAAAAAAAAAAAGCCCTGAAACTAGTAGTTCGTAGAGAGCGCACAGACCTGGTAGCCTAGCCCTTCGAATTCTTTGTAGAAAGAGGCAGAATTGTAATCTGTTTAATGAAATGCTGTTCTTCCTGCTGTGTGGGAATGGCCTGGTGACTTTAGGGCTTTTTGGAAAGATCCACACCGGAGTCGCTGGTTCCTGGAGACGCCCCCTCAACTGCGACACATTACCAGTATGCGCTGTGGAGAGGTGGGGGTGGGGGCATCCTTCTGCCACCCTGCCCAGCTCAACCACAGATGCCCATTGAAACAGCCGCGCTCAAGGCATCATTCTAAGCTGACAACCCTAGCTCAGAAAAAAACCATTTTCTTGTGACCTTTGGATCCAGCTTTCTTGATGCCTAGGTCTGTGATGCCTGCGAGGGTGATAAGCTTTCCTTCCCAGACGGCCTGGGCTTTCCCGACACAGCAGTTGGGTGGGTGGGCGTGGGTCTGGAGAAGTATTCATACCCTCAGGGAAAAATTGGAATTGTAGCTGGAATCTCTTTAGCAGGGAACTGAGCTTCACCAGATGGTGCCACGTCGGCATTTTTGAAATGAACACTCGCTTCCTTTTCTTTTCCTACACAACCATTATGGGAGCCAACTCCATCCTCTACAGAAACTCTCACTAGGCCAGCTCTTGCTCTGGGCTGCTCAGGGGCAGCTCCCACCAATTATGGAGCACCGCTGTGGCCATCTTAAACAGTCCCTTCAATCTTCTAAGTTGGCATTTGCTGAGCAACTTGGTGGCACCCCGGCAAGGAGAGACTTTGTCTTCAAAGGGAGCTGAAACTTAATGGCTGAGAGTGGGCCTGGGGCTGCAGGAGAACACTCCCAGGTAATCTGCAGGTAGTGGCCGGCTCGTGGTCAACCAGAGACATGTCCGCCCATGTCTGCGTGGGAATGATGTTGTCAACCCCACAACATTGCACCTGGCAAGGGATGTGAGCTCAAGATGGGAATGAAGCCTCCAGAGGAATTTGGTGACTTGTTCCATGTGACAAAGCTTGCAAGGGGCAGAGTTGAGCCCAAGTCCTGGTCTAGGGATTTTTTTTCCAGGATTCTTCAGCTGTCTTTAAGAATGGGGGAGGAGGAGGTAAAGTGGTGCTGGGTAGGGAAAATTTCCCAGCCAGCTTGAGTTTGTAGATGAAAGAAATGTTTTTCCTTGTTGAAAAAGAGGAATGTCTGTGCTGCTTAAGCCAATTTTTTTTCAGGGCTGAGAACTGGTGATTGAAGATGCAGAAGTCCAGCTTTGCATAAGACACAATCTGTCTGCTCTGTGTTTGGTAAAGAAATATCCAGAGGTCCTTTAATTCCCACAGGCTAGGCTGGTAGTAATATGGTACAATGAATTCCTTTCCCTTTCTTTCTTCCAGCCTAACACCTGCTAGCCAGCTATTCTGAGCATGTATTTCACCTTTGGAGAGTATACCTCATAAACAGACAGTAAAGGATGAAGGTGGAGAGAAGAGCAGCAAGATTTATCACAGGCTTCAAAAAACAAACCTAAGCCAAATGTCCTCAAATCCCTTTCAGGACAGGCTAAAGCTGCTTGCCCCCCAAACAGATCCATCACACGAAGGTCTAAGGTTGCTTGACTCTTTATAAAAAGCTTTCTTTTCTGATCTCAGAGATTGTCACAAATGGAGGCAAGAAAGCAGGGCAAAGTGTGAAAGGGGGATGTTAGGGCTCATTTGCTGCCTGAGTGGAGGATTTAACGTGTCTGAAGAAAGAATTCCTGAGCAGGGAAGAGAAGCGAGTCTGCATGCGGTGCACGTCTTCTCTGCGTTGTCTGTTTATATCTCTCCCTGCCTGGGTGTACCCACACATTCATCTCATTTCCTTTCTGAGTCACATTCCACTCCACTGCTTCCCTGTCCGACTCCAGGGTTCAGGTTCTTGTAGTTAACACCAGTCTTCTGGGTGGGTGGAGTGGGAAGTCATGGAGTGGTGCTGGAACGATCCCCCCACCCTGTTCCCTAAATGTCTCTTATATTCAGTGCCACTGTGCTTAAACCCACCATTAGTAATTTCTTCCTTTGAGTAAGTGCTGTACTTTTTTTTTTTAACAGACAAATGCCCATCGCTAACATCTTAGTATGAAATCATTTGTCAGATTGACTTCTTCTTTGACATAAGGAACCTGAAGCACCACAAAATTCCTTCATGTCTAGACAGGAGATAAAAAGACAGAGGGAGATGGGATGAGCGGGGAGGGATAGGAGGACACAGCGTGAACAGGATATGAAAGGAACAGAAAAGGGAAATTAGAAGCACCAAAGATTAACCGTCCCTATTTGCCAGTTTGGCCGAAGTGTATTCTTCATCAGACTCTGTCCTTGTTCAATTCCTTCTGGAAAAAAACTGTGAGGACAGTGTTAGATGAGTTACTGGAAGCTTGTGCTGAAAGGGGACAAAACCACTTATTCCTTTATCTCCAGAAATACCCTCATCTCCAAACCAGCGAGTTTAGTAGAGAGAAAAGCACTTCTGAGGCCAAAGGTATGAGCTCAGTCTTCATATGGGCCAGTGAAGCTTGCATAGCCATTACCCAGGCAATGTGCTCCACAGGGACCCAAGCGAGACAGTATGTCTGGGCTCGTTCAAACTCATCTCCAGACAGTCCAAACTGGGCCCCTGGCATCATCCTAGACAAAGGACAGCCTCTTCCAAAAGGACACCTTTGATTGCAGAATTCCATCTAAGGGAACATAGAGCTCCCCCCCCTCACCCCTTCCTCTGAGAATTTACGCATAACTGAAGTCATTCTGAGACCACTGCTTTAGGCATTCGACCATTGCTCACAACAGTCAAGGAGCTGGCTAGTGAACAGTCAGCACGAACCATTTCTTCTCACCAAAAACAACCAACCAAACAAAAACCCAAAACGCTTTGAAGGAATGTTGAAAATAATCAAGATCTGCTGAGCTTGGCACTTTCCAATAGTTTTCATCTAGCAAGGTGTCCAAGCGAAGAGCATTGCCAAGAGTGCAGGAAAACTCATTCCACAGAAGCACACTGAAATTCTAAATGTCACCAGTATGGTTCCATAGTCTTCTACCAATGATTGAAAATACAGCCTGTATTTTCTCTTTTGCCCAGGTAGGCAGTGTTCCAACATCCCCTAGTCTCTAACCTCATTTTTCCATGCAACAATCCATCAGTGGTGCAAGTGATGAAACAAACACCGCCTCTCCCCCCAGTGACTAGTCCTGTGGACATTTGTCTCAACAATGGATAGTATTTCTAAAGAAATTCCCTCCCTGGTGGGAGATCTGACAAGACTGGATCTGAAGTAGATGCCTCTTCCTCTACCTAGGTCAGGCGGACTGAGAGCTCAATTTGTTGCCATAGGTAGATGTTACTCAAGCTGGCTGCAGATGGTATTTATAACTAGATGCAAATAAAAGGCCTAAAGGAATTGCTACCTGTTACAAAACAGACCAGACTTCCTGAGTTAACTGTGTGTTTGCTGGAAGATTCTAAAGGCTGTTTTGCTTCCCCTTTTAAAATATGGTCTCTTAAAAGGCCTTGCCAATGCACAGAAATCTCTCTTTAGGAATATGAGGAGATAACATTGATAGGTAAACTTATTCAACAGAGTTGTCTGCCTCTCTTAAGGCACTGTCTGGTTAGAAAGAGTTAATGTCATTGTCTCTTGTTTTCCTATGCAGTAACTACAAAGCCTTTTCATGCTTCAAGTAACATTGTTTCTACAAACCCTTCCAACTTGTTTTTCTACTTGAGTTGGGGAAAATTTGGCCAGGTTAAACTAACATACAGTCATGGGACACCAGCAGACTGAAAAACAGCCCAATGCAGCACAAGCTCTAAAAGACTGCCACTAGGAACTATATCATTAGAAAGCAACACTGGCTGGGTAAATGACTTGCTTTAATTTCCCAAGTTTTTTCATATGGAAAATGACTATGAAGAACCATGCTACTCAAAGGCTTATTAACAGCAGGGATAAGATCAACTTCCATCAGGTCTGGCCTAGTTGGTGATAGGAAGCAAATTCCCTGGACTTATTATTTGCTTCAAGCAATAGACATGTCCTCTGTTATAGGTAACAGGCTTACTGCTATACTGGAACACTCTATGAGACTGCTCCCCTTGAACATTTGAAAAAGAATCACTTCTTAATAATAACAACGAACAACTATATACCAGAGACATTTTATGGGAGTGGAGTGGAGAATGGGATAAAAAATGGGTGGGAGCAGGGCATGGGACTATGGTGATGGCACACGGGTGAGTTGGTGATGTGATGGGAAGTCCACAGGGACTGCAGCTGAGATGGAAAAAGGCACAAAATGATGTAAAAACAAACTGTTATCATTAAAAAAAAAAAAGAAACCATATCTTTCAGAGAGCAGAGTAAATCTGGGGTTTTGTTTCAACCCCTAGAAAGGCCTGATAAGCAACCTTTCCAAGGCACTCTTCTTGGGACATCCCATATTATTTAGTGGTGGGGGGGACCTTACTCAGCTCTTGAATTCTACACATGGGAGAATCTGGAGACCTTGAAAGCAACTGAAACAGGTTTGGAAAACAGAACTCAAGAACACACTGAGATGGGTTAGCCTGTAAATGAGGTTGGAGGGAGATAGCAAATGTTCTGAGGTTTAAAGGGCAGGCAAGAAGCAATGGTGGGTAGGATAAGATGTTGCCTTGGTCTTAACCAAGGAGTACAGTCTTCGGATTCTAACAAGGAGGACTCGAAGACTGGATTCAAGCCAATTTTCAAGCCCCTGAATAGATAAGGCAACAAAGAACAACACCTTATGATTCTACATGTGCTCAAAACTCCTTCTCAGCCTTAGTGAATCTCACAGGGATCAAGGGCATGACCTCTGTGAAGCTGGACAGGGAAGTGGTAGCTTAAAGAAGCATAGGTTTGAAGTGATTCCTCTGTTTAACTCAAGGGAAAAATACTTTACAGACTGGTTTGTAAAATATCATTTGCTGTTTAGTCAGCGCTGCCAAGAAAACTGTTGGAATTCTTAGTAATTAGCTCAGCAACTTGGCTTAAATATAAAATACTGGCTCAGAAGGGATCCCCATCTCAGCTCCAGTGCCAAAAAGCACTTCACTTTAATCTCAAGAATTCCCAAAGGCAAAGTATGGAGATGGCACCTCGCTTTAAAGCCTCTGGAAAGAGAAGGCACCACAGATATGACCCAATTAAAGTGCCTGACAAACAGACACACTAAACATCTTAGAGCTTGTTTTCTTCTGTCATCCCAGACATATGACATGGAGCACACTTTCTACAGCAATGGAGAGAAGAAGAAGATTTACATGGAAATCGATCCCGTGACCAGAACTGAAATATTCAGGAGTGGGAATGGCACTGATGAGACATTGGAAGTACACGACTTTAAAAATGTAAGTTGCCTATTTCCTCCTAAGCCTTCCCACTAAAGGTATTAGAATGTTTGAGTCAGGGCCCCCATTTAATTTACAAGACAAAAACGTTGCTTTGGGGGCCCTCCCTGATAGTGCAACTGGTTAAAGCGCAGGGCTGTGAAGCCATCTGCAGCAACTGCAGCACGAGTTTGATCTCCAACCAGGGAGCTGACCCACATAACGCTGCAGGCCTCTCCAGTCTCGCCCTCGGCTCCCCTCAAAAGTGTATTTCAGTAGATCCACTTGTTCTGCTCCCCACTCTGTCTCCAGTGAATCCTCTCGCCCCCTGCAACTCTGGCCTGTACACCAGTTCTTATATGCAAAATCTTTTTAAAATCTTATAAAAAAATGTCTTTGCGTCAAACTTTGCTTCACCAGGGGCCCTGACACACCCTGTGTCTCAGTTATGGCAATTTCAGGAAATTTTGTTATTTTTCAAACTTTGTCTGTTTTATAGGGGTACACTGGCATCTACTTTGTAGGTCTTCAGAAATGCTTCATCAAAACTCAAATTAAAGTGATCCCTGAATTTTCTGAACCAGAGGAAGAAATAGATGAGGTATGTAAGAATGTAAGAATAAAAACAATGGTGGCACATGTCATAATTGGGGGGAATGCTAATTCTATGCCAGATATTGTATTAGCCACTTTAACTATCATTTAATTCTTGCAATGATCCTACAGGTAGGTATTCCAATTATCCCCATTTTCAGATGAGGAAACTGGGATTCAGAACTGAAAGGTGACTTGTGCAAGGTCACATAGCCAGTAAGTAGCACATTGCAATCTTGAACTCAAGCCTCTAAAATCCATACTTTGACACTGGATACCAATGAACTTTATGTTCATTTGCTTCCACATCAAAGATTCCTAGTAAGAGAGGTGAGCCAGAGCAACCAAATCAATCCTTCCTGAGATAAAGTCCTTTAAACAAGTCCCCAGACCACCTGGACCTTTGCCACTTTGGTCACTGTGACTTTCACCTATTTTAAAGATTTCAGTTCAGTCAGTTGACCATTTTAGCTGGAATAATCTGCATTTTAGTGGAATAATCTGCATTTAACCTCACCGGGAAAGGCAAAAGCTAAGTGGTGAGAACGCCAGTATAATACAAACGCTCTCAGAACACACTGCTCGGCCGGGGCCAGGCAATCGCTGGAGCCCTTACTAGCGGAGATGGGGGATGATTCCTAAGGGACACCCAAGCATAAAGCCTGTAGTTACAGTATGTTGGTCTCCGCAGAGGAAGAAGAGGGAAACTTAGCTAAGGTTTGTAGCCAGAAAGAAACTGTTTAGTTGGTTTTACTTTAGTGTTTAATTGGCAGATCTACAGTGAGATTATGGCAATGGCACCATGGCCTCTCTCTCTACCATAAATACCTCTTTGTCTTTTTTCTCTCTTCCCCCCTCCTTCCTTTCTGCTTCTCTCCCACCCAAATCTTCCTCTTAATTATTTTCCTTTTCCCTTACACAAGCTTCAGAGTAGTCACTGACTTACATAGATATTAATCTTTCATGCTATCGATCTTCTCATGACCAGAGAATTTCTAGAATTTCAGAGAAAAGGAAAAGACTTCCATAAAGGTGATGCTCTGCCCAAGGTCTACAGTAGTGAGTGTAAGGTCGATGTGGCCAAGGAACAGACCAGTTTCCAGTTTCCGGATATTAGGAATGACTATAGGTATTAGCAAGTGAGATACAATGAGAGAATAATAAAAAAGACAAAATGCGTCTATATCTAATATCATATGCTGATTTTTTTTTTTTTACAGAAAATACTGTAAGCATTGAGCAAGGCCAGTTAGCACTGAGGGCCTGAACAGACACAACAGGCCCATCGGTCACATTTTGACCCATATTTATTCTTTTATTAATTTTGTCAAATCCTTTAAATAATGCAATCGGTTATCTTTGATAGAGTGAGATTTCTTTATTTCCATTGAAATCCTATTTTTTCTCAATTCAAGCTATAGATATTTTTCTGAGACAAACTTGTGATCTGGAATGGAAAAAATCAAAAACCCTCTTATTCTCGTCTTCCCTCACCACTGTATCCATGGTCTGTGCATGTAAACATGCAGAGCAGGTATATAAATAGCCCTGATTTTGCTAACAAAGCTAGTCAGCATACTAACCTCATTTTATGTAGTCCCTTTCAATACAAGGTCTTTATAGACTCAAGGGCAAAGGAAGTAAGACTTAAGAGCTGTAAATGAGTGGGTATGAAATTACACAAAATAATATTTCAGATGCTAAACAAAACAATGAAACCATAAAGCTAGAAAGAAGTAAGAAATGTTTTAATAGTTGTAATTTATTAAAAGTTGAAGCTCAAAACACAAGTATGAACGAAGACAATTGCTTCCAGAAGAGATGGCACTGTTTCTGACTATTCAAGAAAAGAGATGTAAGGGAAAACATTCCAGTAGACAAACTCTAAACATCTAGAATAAAAGGAATAAAAATGAGGCTGTAGCCAGTGAAGTCATAAACTGGAGATTTGAGTTTAAAGCAAAAGATGAAGTATTTTGTATGATAACCAACTACCTTTAACAGGCTAAACTTGTAAAACTGAAACATTATATTTGGTTTCTATTTAATTGATCTGATCAGTTTGGATTTTTGCAGCTTGAGATCAAATACTGTTTGCAGCCTTTGTTGTAAAACTAAAACAAGGCAGTCACTCACAAGATCCATTTAAAGAGAGGAAAGAAATGTAAATAACTCAGAGTTCCAGCGGCCCAAATTAAAATATAATGACCCAGTGGGAGGCCCAGAAATGATGGGGAGCCTTCCTGACTTTAAAGGCTGTTTAAGTGAACAGCCTTACTATTAAACTCAAGAGGGGTGGGGGAATCAATCCTTAACTCTCCCAAGGGTGCCTAGTGCATGCAAAGCGCAGAGCTAGCTCATGGGCAGCCTTGGGATTGGAAGTGTCATTCAGATTCATAACAGAGCATTTTTAAGTATCCAATAAAGTCTCACTCCTTTTATTAATTTCTCGGCCTATCCACACCTGATGTATTTTTTTCTTTCAGAATGAAGAAATTACCACAACTTTCTTTGAGCAATCGGTGATTTGGGTCCCAGCAGAAAAGCCTATTGAAAACCGAGACTTTCTTAAAAATTCTAAAATTTTGGAAATTTGTGACAATGTGACCATGTATTGGATCAACCCCACTCTAATAGCAGGTAAGACTTCCTCCTCCACTCCCTCCTCTCCCCCCCTCCCTCTCCCGCCTCCCTTTGAGTCAGTAACAGGTTAATGTTCCCAGCATTCAGAGACTACATTTTTAGGAAAACAAATGATCAGCTTATATCTTCTTAGATGAAACTGTAAATGCTGGCTGCCAGTGAGGAGAGAATTTTTCACAGCCAAGTTATAAATCAGATAAATTAATGCTGACAGGCTTTTAAATATCCCAGCAAAGGTAACACCACCTTAATGTGACTAGTGATAGCAAAAACCCTAATCTGTCTTTCTTTGCACATCTATATTCATTGCAGTCAGGATACCAGACTGTTGCTCAAACCACCCGTGGGCCCAACCCAAAACAGAGGAGCTAGGAGTCAGAGCAATACTTTGCTGTCCCAAGATAAATTCTCCAAATCAAATGGTGTCATTTCCCCAAAAGATAAGACAGTTGCTGCAATACAATTGTCTTTAAGGCTAGAGGAAAGAAGATTCCCAACACTCAACTTCCAGTCATCCACAGAGAAGGCAAAATTCATTGGATGTCTCATTCTTCCCAGCTAATATAGATGTCATTCTCAGCAGCACAGATTATTATATTACCCAAAAGTTGCTGCTCCCACCCAAGGCATTGCTGGCATTCTCTCACCTTAAAAAAGGCAACTAATGCCATGTGGTGTCGAATTGGAAGCCAGAACTGCCTTGGCACCCCTTTTCTAAAGGACAATAGTGGCAATCTGAGCGAAGTCTAAGGTTTTAGTTAATGTATTTTCTCATGGTTAATTTCTCAATTTTTATAATTGTACCCTAATGATGTGAGATGTTAACATTAGGGGAGACTGGGAGAAAGATATCCAGGAACTCTACACTACAGATGTCACTCTTCTCTAAATCCAAGATTATTTCTAAGTAGAAAGTTAAAAATTTAAGACCAGAAAGAAATGGGAAGAGGACGGTGGACAACCAGCACTTAATCAAATCTAACAACTATCTATTGAGCACCTACTGTGGGCAAAGTCATTGTGGAAAACACAGAAGTCCTCTGTCTTCAGGTTTTTTTTTTTTTTTTAAGTCTACTCACAAAGCAAAGCAATAAATGTTTAAAGCCAAATAAGCCAAGAAAGAGTCTGGGGATGGGGTGGGGGTGAGGGGAAATAGTCACCTTTGCACATTTGTTTTAGAAAATCCCCTTAAAATATCAACTGAAGGAGCATGGAGAAGTCGCTCATGCATACCTGAATGATGTCAGTGAGAAGACACAATGAAAATATCTTCCCCCAAGTATTAGCCCCCCAAGTTCCTTTTGCAGAAACCTTTCCAGATCGTTTGTATCTTGGTGTAAATACCACTTGATATGTGTTATCTTAGTTTCGGAGTTACAAGACTTTGAGGAGGATGGTGAAGATCTTCACTTTCCTACCAATGAAAAAAAAGGCATTGAGCAAAATGAGCAGTGGGTGGTCCCTCAAGTGAAAGTGGAGAAGACCCGTCACACCAGACAAGCAAGTGAGGAAGACCTTCCCATAAATGACTACGTGAGTTATGTTCATGTTACTCAATTCAGAGGAAAAACTATGAGCCCTCACCAAACTCAGTACTCCTCAGATCACAGCCATTGGATGAATGGTTGTGACTTGCACACAATATATTTAAGAAAATTGGCATCCCCAGGAGGTTCATTCAAATCAGGCTTGGCTTGATCTTGATTGATGTATCTCTGTGATCAGTCTAGAAGTTTAATTTCTCACCAGTCCCCAAATCATATAGCTGTCCAATCCTCCCTTGTTTGGTGGTTCTTTTCCTAGTGAAATTTCCCCTCCAACATTGGCTTCTTCTTCTTTCAGACTGAAAATGGAATAGAATTTGACCCCATGCTGGATGAGAGAGGTTATTGTTGTATTTACTGCCGTCGAGGCAACCGCTACTGCCGCCGCGTCTGTGAACCTTTACTGGGTTACTACCCATACCCATATTGTTACCAAGGAGGGCGGGTTATCTGTCGTGTCATCATGCCTTGCAACTGGTGGGTGGCCCGCATGCTGGGGAGGGTCTAATAGGAAGTTTGAGCTCAAGTGCTTAAACCTCTGGAAGCCAACATATAATAAATACATGCTATCCAATGAATTTCTGCTTATGAGGCATTTGGCTTCTGTTAGCCAGTAATCTAGAATGACTTGTAGGTAATTCCTCTCTTTGTGTTCTAATAAACTTCTACATCATCATCAATGGCCTGATTGCTGCTGAACACACTGGGTAAGTGATTGCCATGAATATTGCCTGAAACTGAAATAGAACAGATCAGTCTGACATGGACATTACAATGATGGAAAGTTGCATTTTACCAGGTTTGGGTAGTGGGAAAGGGCAAAGCAAAAGGGTTCTCAAATACCACATTTTATAATGCTATATTGAGAAAGTGCAAATGAGGAGCTGATGATAAAATGCCCCCATAAACTGATGCATATAAACATGTCCTTTGTTCCTTGGCTCAGTGTTTAATTATCTGAGGGACATATTGTGAACTTGCTTAAGCCTCTATTAAGCCACTGGACAGGCAGTGAGTTACAGCAGGCCAACACTAAAATATTCCAAGCTTGAGGCTCAGCAAAGGAGAAAGCTAACCTAGCAGAAAGAGCCCCAGGCTCTTCTCCAGTGAACAGGATCATCTTTGGACAAGTTCAACTTTTCATAACCTTCGGGTATGACTTCTGTTTAGATCGGTGTCTGGTCACCTACTTTTCAAGGCAATTGTCAGGCAAGGGGGGCCCCATAAATAGCATTCCTAGAAACAGGAAGTGGCTGAGGTAAGAAGTCAAGTGGGATTTTTTTCCTCTTCAAAACCACAAGGAACTAGGAGTCTGTTACTTTCTTTAAGGAGGGATAAGGCCTAGTTCTCAGGCGCCTGAGACTTTACTCAGAAAAAACAAAAAAGTTGCAAAGGGGAGAGAAAGAAAAGTAGTTGAGGGTAATGTTAACTTTGATGTTCCAACGGGTTTTAGTTTCAGAATTCCTGCTCCACCAGTCAATCAGCCCTTATAACTTCATTTGAAGGGAAACCCCTTTGTTGCTCAATTTCAAAGCTGTGTCATGAAAACATCGGTCTGGCACTGTGATTTGGAAAAGCATTTTCAAATAGCAAAATCTTCACTGAGCTGCTTGTGGACCAAGAGCCCACCCCTCCCCAGCCCACCCCATGCTCCCATTTAACAGTTGAGGAAGTAAATAGAAACAGATTTGCCCAAGGCTGTGTTAAGGTTAACCAGCTCTTCATTGATAATTAGCATACTTGCCAGACTTGAGTTGCCAATTTGCACAGAATGAGAGCACAATGAGACATAATCTAACAAAGCAACATCACTGAAAAAATTTTTGTTTTTTTAGTAATGAGTTAGTACCCATCTGAGAACTTTGAAAGACTTCAGGTATCAAGCACTAATTTGAAGTAGAAAAATGTAAAGATCGGACATTAGTTTGAGGTTTGTGAGCTTTATAATATTCTCTATCATTGTTTTAAAATAAATTATTCATTTTAACAATGGTTTTTAAGATCAGCTAATAATTTTAAATTCCCAAGACACTCAATTTTATGCAGTCTGCATTGTACTATTGTACTGTATATATACTATTTTCTGTGGGGGACACGAATTAAGGCGAGGGTACACTCTTTATTTCCAAACAAAGATAGGACACCTGAAATACAGAACCCAAAATACAGAAACACATGCACAACTAGTTCCAGTTGTACATGACATTCTGTAGATACATATGCACAGCACAGAAGTACGCACAAGAGGTTTAGAAGGTTCCTCCTCACATTTTACGGCTCAATGTTCCTACTCACAGTATTTTAATCCAGGAGACATTTCTTATTCCACTGAGATACCTCGACCTGCACATAATCCCCTATTGAGAAGTGTGATCCTCTAAATCAGGCAGGCCATTAGTTCAAAGGAAAATACAACAACCATTCGAGTCATCTCACACTTTTGAAAAGATCAAGCCAAAAACAGAAAAACCACCAAACCCGAACATAGTGGTCTTTCACTTCATAAATGCCCAGGCTATGATCTCTCCTGTCACAGATTTCTGTACCTCGTTCGAGTCCCATGTAAACTCGTTACGTCAAGCCTGTGCTTCCCCTCAGGCCAACCCCACTGAAGCCAGGGGTGCTGCTCTTCCTTCACCACACTTCCCTAAGCATAGCTGGTGGTCACAAGAAGCAACACCAAAGTCTATAGTCCAAGTCAGAAAGACCTTGTAGTAATTCTAAAGTGTCCCTGTCTACTTCAGCCTCTCCCCAACCACTTCCAGCTTGTCCTAAACCAGCCCTCAATTATGCTTATGGTTCAGGCCACAGGTTACTTCCCGGCATAACTATTTGAGTCTCCTCCCAACCAAGTTCTCAGGCTGTCAACTGAAGCTTAAATAAATGCTTTTACAAGAAATGTATTTATCACTTATAGATTTTGTGAAAGCCATTCCTTTTCCTGAAAGTCTGTAATAGCGACTTACTACATTAAGGATCACTTGCATTCAAATAGTCCTTCTTCAATCCACCCGTAACCACCATCATCTCTTCCCTTTCTCCCAGCATGCCTTTGCTTTTCTCAGGCACAATAGCTTCATGCTCTATTTGTCCAGTCACCCCATCCATCTTCTTTACAGAGTTTTCTCTCACTAATTTGAAGAGATTTTTTTAAATCCTATTTTCCACTTACCTAAACATGAAATCTAAATCCTTTCTCCTTCATTCCATGCCTGTAAAAGTTAATATATCATTCAATGCACAAACAATTTACATATGAGTTTAATTTGCAAGTTTTAAACACAACCTCTCCCATTTTGCTCTGTGCAGAACCTAGCACAGTATTGAAATCATATAACAGAAGCATGTAGGTGGTTTTTAATTATTTTTGAAACAGGAGGCAATGAATGAGAAGAGAGGGAAGAAGGTGGAAGACAGAGAGGAGACTGCAGAAAGAACACAGTGACAAGGCTCTTCAGAATATTATTTACAAAAAGTTGGCTTTGAGTCCTATTGCAATTTGGGACCTAAATTCTTATCTAAGTTAAATCCATCTTTGTTATTCCTTATCTCTTGACACACATATGAAGAATGTCTCTAATCTCAGGATGATCGAAAGCACAATGATTGCCCACAGCTCGGATGAGCTATTTCCAAACAGCAAATGCAGGTCATTTGCATTTTCTTCTCAATTTTCAATGAGTCCATATAGAAAAAAGCAAAATGGATGTCTGCTGTGAAACCGCAAGAAATATCATATTAACTTTCTAATTCTTTGGGGATCTAAATTCCAATCAAGAAAAGTCAGTTGAGGCGAGGCCATCTATTGCTCCCACTCAGCACAAGGACACTGTGCATTAGTGTGCTCAGTGCCTTCCTGCACACCTAAAATGGCTCTTTGGCAGGACTAGGGACAAAGGAAATCTATTTCAAGTCTTTATATATAAGGCTCACTGTCTGGCAGAGTCCAAAACTGTCACTTTGGCTCCTAAAGTCTAACGCTGAAAGCTTACGGAGATAAATATGGACCTTCTCATTCAGGCTGTCAGGAAATGCGTGGATCTATTTTATTTATATCCTTAAAAAATGATTTCATTTTGGCTTTCCTTTTTTGAAGAAGTTCTGGGGCTTAATTCTGCTGACAACATGCTGTTCCCTAACAAGAAAGAAAAGTGGCTCCGTATTAAAAACCAGGTATGAATGTACATAAAAACGTGTCTGTGGCTCATTCCAAAGTACTGTTTTTAAGTCTCCTGTAGAACATTAATTTGCATGGAAGCTACTTACCCCAAGGACTGCACTGATCATCTGTCTGGATCACTAATCAATGCTGGCATTGGTAGCCTAACGTGCACTAGTCACTTGCATACTTCCATCTGCCTACCTTTCCAACATTCACTATTTGACAGTCAGACCTGTTGTCCTTCCTAAAACACTCGGAAGGAGAGGCAAAGTGAACCAAGGGAGACAGGCCAAGTCACAATAGATCCCTCAACCAAAACAAAGACCAGTAACTCCACAGTGCTGAGATGATCTCCAGCAGTGATGTGAATATATAGTTTATATTTATCCTTCTGTGCTATGCTGTCATTTGCCATTTGGAATTTTCCACTGATAGCAGGATTTCTGCCAGTCTTACTTACACAGATGTTGGCTACTAAAAGTTAATTCAGGCTCATACCCATATCAATCGTCAGTGAGCCAAGAACAAGACACCTGGCAAAAGTAGGGGGGTTGGGGCACATGCCTTAGCAGTCATTGAGTTCTGAAGTAGAGAGTTAAAAAAGGAAGCTTTGTGACTAGGATTTTAGTTTGCTTATTTTGCAAAAGGCTCATGTGTTAGGCTGACTCACAGATTCACTGTGGCCACTGAGATCCACTCCTCGGACCGGGGCTGCCTCTTCACAGCAGTGCCGCTCTAGTCATGTGTAATTATCCGGTGTCCGTTTAAAGTGTCAATCCGCCATGTTCACAATAATAGCTTGTGATGTTCTGATTATGCTAATCATATCAAGTTAAAATCCAAATGGTTTGTGGTTGACCTTTTACATTTCCTGTTCCTCCAGACTACTCGCTGAGTGTCTTTCTACCAGGGCATGTCGATCTAAGAGAACTTGTATGCTGGTAGCATCAACAAGGTCTGAATAACCCAGCATTCCAGCCTGCTAGGCACTGGCAAGGCAGATAGACCATAGGTTCATCTCTTGATTGTCTGGTCATTTATAATAGATGTAGCATAAGATCTGTGCCCTCTAAACAAATAACAAAGTAAGAGAGAAAAAAATTTTGAAATGTTTCAGGATAGCAAGACTTCTCTATATGCTCTCAGAGACCAAGAACTTGTCTTTCAAAAGACAATAGTTATAGTTTCCTCAGAGTCAGCCTATCAATCCTGCTGTGAGGTACTCAAAACCCTGATTGCTCAGCGGTATTTGTCTTCCTTAGAAACAACTTCAGCTGCATGTAACAGAAAATCCCCAAATGATGCAATCTCAGAAAGGTAGAAGTAGGTAGAATAGGAGCTCGGGTAAACTGCCTCATATATTGTCTTTTGACTCCACACCCCTCGGTATGTGGTTTCCATTTTCAAGGTCATCTTGCGATCTAAGATGACCTCAGTTTGAGCCACCATGCACACATTTACATTGGCCTCACAAAGAAAGCCTAAGCAGAAAAAAAGCCAGTCTATATATTTTA